AAGGATAACCTAATAAAGACGTATTTACGCTTTTGCAGCGGTTAAAACAGAAGAAATTACATTTAGAAACTCTTTTTGTTCTGTAAAGCGTCTCCGCTTTTTAGCGGGAAAATCCCATCCTACGTTCCTGCGAGGTTGACTGCGAGATACTGGGTACCCTCTTTGCTACGAATTGGTACTATTTGCCGCTATTCGCCACCATTCGAGACTGTTCGCCACTATTCGCACTATCCGAGACTATTCGCGCTATTCGTACTATTCGCTGTTCGCTATTCGGGACTATTCGCTGTTCGCTATTCGCGACTATTCGCTATTCGCTATTCGGGTTTTCCAGACACCCCTAGTGAAGATATCAATGATTTCATTGATTTCAAGTTTGTCTCTTAAATTGTACTTGTTGTTGTACTTGTAATTGTACTCTTAAATTCGTTGGTGTATGATCGAAAGATCTTGGGATCTTCCTCGAAAGTCTTCGGCAATCTTCGTTTATCTTGGGATATCTTCTGTAATCTTAAGAAATTCTCGGAAAATGTTCGGAAACGTTCGTGTGGCCTTCGGATAAGTTTTGGAGAATCTTCGGAAATCTTCGGAAAGTGGTGGAGAATTTTCGGAAAATCGTCAAAAACGTCGTTACCAGCATGTCTATACAAGAGACCTGTACCTTTATGGATAATGTTGTGTTGATATCGTCCAGTAGTGTTCTGATGCTGCTGTCTTCTTGATCGAGTCTTTCTGTGGTGCTGTTAAGCTGTTAGATATGCGAAAACAGTGGAAGAGAATTTAGTAACGATATGATGCTAATTTAGACCGTATGTCTACATACTATCTCCCTCTTAATTACGGTACGTCGAGTTTGTTAAGAGCTGCACAGCAAAACATGGTCTAAACAAATTTTGTTAATAAGAACGAAAACTTCCTTACCTCTGTGTCCGTCTGAGAAATTGCCATAGATAGCTCATCCTTCGTGATGTTCAATCTTTGCTCCAAAGTAACGAGCCCACAGTTAAACTAGAGTGACGTGGAACGTACAAGAATTCAGCAGCAAACAAGGGGCACGGAAATCTCACTATGCATGTTGCAGGTAAACATTTAGAAACATATATTTAGTATTTATCATTTTATTTTGCAAATAGGTATCTTATTGTTCCTTCTCCGCCAGTGACCCTCCGCTTAAAGGTAGAAGTTAAGTAAAAATATGTCTAGAATGATAACGTTAATATAACAGCTGCATTGCTGTTGCATATCAAGTGATAATAAGTGTAAAAATATAATCCTTCTGAAGGTCTGAGAAATGGAAAGAAAAAAGTTAATAGGCTTAATTTTCGTTTTATGTTCCATGGCGTGTTGAAACAATCACGGGAAGAAAAAGTATTATTATGAAACAGAAAACGGACATTTTCAACTTATTTTAGACCTAGTCATTATTGATCCATGAAAAATTATCTTACCAAGGCCAGAAAACTGCTAGTGTTTGTCTTGAAAATNAGTCTTCGGCAATCTTCGTTTATCTTCGGATATCTTCCGTAATCTTAAGAAATTCTAGGGAAATGTTCGGAAACGTTCGTGTGGCCTTCGGATAAGTTTTGGAGAATCTTCGGAAATCTTCGGAAAGTAGTGGGGAATCTTCGGAAAAACGTCGTTACCAGCACGTCTATACAAGAGACCAGTACCCTCATGGATAAAGTTGTGTTGATATCGTCCAGTAGTGTTCTGATGCTGTTGTCTTCTTGATCGAGTCTTTCTTTTGTGCTGTTAAGCTGTTAGAAACGTGAAAACAGTGGAAGAAAATATAGTAACTGATATGAATCCTAATTTAGACGGTATGTCTAAATGCTATCTCCCTCTTAATTGCGGTACGTCGAGTTTGTTAAGAGCTGCACAGCAAAACATGGTCTAAACAAATTTCGTCAATAAGGACAAAAGCTTCCTTACCTCTGTGTCCGTCTGAGAAATTGCCATAGATAGCTCATCCTTCGTGAGGTTCAATCTTTGCTCCAAAGTAACGAGCCCAGAGTTTAACTAGAGTGACGTGCAACGTACAAGAACTCAGCAGCAAACAAGGGACACGGAAATCGCACTATGCATGTTGCAGGTAAACATTTAGAAACATATATTTAGTATTTATCATTTTATTTCGCAAAAAGGTATCTTCTTGTTCCTTCTCCGCCAGTGACCCTCCGCTTAAAGGCAGAAGTTAAGTAAAAATATGTCTAGAATGATAACGTTAATGTAACAGCTGCATTGCTGTTGTATATCAAGTGATAATAAGCGTAAAAATACAATCCTTCTGAAGGTCTGAGAAATGGAAAGAAAAAAAGTTAATAGGCTTAATTTTCGTTTTATGTTTCATCGCCTGTTGAAACAATCGCGGCAAGAAAAGATATTATTACAAAACAGAAAACGGACATTTTCAACTTATTTTAGACCTAGTCATTATTGATCCATGGAAAATTATCTTACCAAGGCCAGAAAACTGCTAGTGTTTGTCTTGAAAATGTTGAAGTTGTCTACTGTTTGGTTCGCCAACATGTGCACTGTAGCTATGGATGAACCGAGCTGCTCGATCTGACGAATAAAACAGTAATCACATGATCTAAAAGAAGCAAAAATCTACAATTACGGCCAAAAGCCTTGGGACAAATTTGCACTTTTGGCGCTTTTGCGCACACGTCACACGCGAATGCAACTTCACCTGCCT